TGTGTGTGTGTGTGTGTGTGTGTGTGATTAATTAATGATTAAAGAATAGGGTGTCATGACTTTGAGATGAAGTTGGGGTAAATGGGGAGGAGTTGAAGAGAGGGTGAGAAGGGAAATGATGGAAATATAGCGCTCATGAAACTCTCAAAAATATATGAATAAATACATAAGTAAAATTGTAAAAAGGAGTGTGGCTTCTGATAGGTCAGCTATGCTCCCATGGATAGCCTTGTACCCAGAAGTGTATGAACCAATGGATTTGATGGGTTCTAAGTTACTAAGCTAAAGAAAAGGACATGAAGGTGGGCTCATAGGAAAGTGGGAGTGGGTCTTGGAGGAGTTGGGGGTGAATATGATAAAAATACAGTGCATAAAAATTTCAAAGAATTAACAACTTTTTAAAAAATGGTAGGATAAAAGCAACCATAATATATATTATGTGTGTATACATGTGTATAGTGTATGGATGTGAGTATGGATGTGTATATTCTAGAGGAGAAATTGTGGAACTTAGTTCATGCTTTCTATGGTTCTGGGAATTGAACTTGGGGTTCAGGCTTATATAGTGAATGCTTTTACCTGCTGAGCCATCTTACTGGCCCTTAAATTCATTTATAAACTAGAATATATTGTGGTAATAAGGTACTAGAGTGTGTAACTCCCATACTCAGACCTAGTATTCTTTAAATCAGTTGAGCGGCCTAACCAGTAATTAGTTCCTAATTGTTGGAGGAAGCAAAGTCATTACTACCTAATTGGAAGTGGGATTTTATAGAATTATAATCAATTTTTTTATTTAGACGTTTAATCTGGTTAAATTGTCATGTGCTAATTCTCTATAGACAATATTATTTACTGGTGCAGAACACCCTGCAAGTACAGGGAGTTTTCATATCTTTTATGACTCTCTCCTTTCAATATCGCTAGAAAACAATCCCCACCGGAAGAAGCAAGCCTGGAACATGCTCACACTGTTAATACTGATACACATAAAGTTTCCTCTATAAACCCACAGAGAAGAAGTTTAGTTTAGATGTTTTTCAAAATGTCAAATTAGGGAGCAGAGGATGTCAACATAGATTAGTGAAGACCATCATTTTTACAAAAGGAAACATACCTGGACCTCTGAATTTGTGGGTGCCCTATCCATAGATTCAGTTAACTACAGATTAAAAACATTTGCAAGAAATGCATGTGAATTGAACATAAACAGATATTTATCTTGAGTAGTATCTGAACATGCAGCATTGAACTCTATAATAGTGTTTACAGTGCGCAAGCGACAGGAAGTACAGCTTAGAGTATGTGAAAGGATGTGCATGAGTTATATGCAAACATATACTACTCGAGTTTACGTAGGGAACTAGAATACATGAGGATTCGGGTATCACAGAGGTCCTGAGTCCATCCCTTGGAACCAGTTACCAAGGTAATTGTCTGACTGTATTTCATTCAGCCTTTTATTGGAATCTACCAAAAATATTCAACACCAAACTTTGGTGTATTAGCTTCAAATGGCCATTCCTGAATTTATATAAGTAACATTATATGGTCTGTCTGAGTACATTGTATTTATATATTTAGGAATATCTATCTATCTGTCTATCTGTCTGTCTATCGTCTATCTCCTTTCTTTCTTTATACATATATATAAGCGTATATGCATACATATATGTTAACAATGAAATAATTATAGGCCATGAATTTGAGAGAGAGAGAGCCATGAGAGGTATTTTGGAAGAATTGGAAGGAGTAAATAAAAGGGGGAAATGATGCAATTTTAAAAATTCTAAATAGTGCTAAAATCTTTATAGCCTCGTTGGAGTAGGATTGGCGGCTTAAAATGATAAATCATGTATCCTGATCCATTTGGCGGTAAATATTTGCTACTGACTAAGTTTGCCGTTTTAAGCTCAAGAGCAGATGGGATTTAGGGGTGTGTGGACTGTCACTGCAGGGGGGAGGCGTCCTGCCCAAGGGCCTTTCCTGGGGGAGTTTGGATTGTTAGACCTGCACTTGAGAGAAGCCTGGTTACTGTGTCTAGGAACAAGATAAAATGAAGCTTATCTTCTGTCGATCAATACAGTCTTGTTTGAGCTCACTGAGTCATGGAGAGATGCATGTGGTAATGAAAGCCATTGAGCAATAGTACCCAAAGTATTACCCGGCGTCCTAAGGGATGCTGGCGTTTTCAGAGAGTTACTGGAACAGGTTTTAGATCTGCTGTCAAGTTAACATACACAGCATCATAACCTGAAACTCGGGGTGTCCGTAAAGACATGTTGAGTTTTTCGTAGTAGTTCTAAACTAAAAGTTATCCTGTTTGTAGTGTGTGTGTGTGTGTGTGTGTGTGTGTGTGTGTGTGTATGTGTGTGTGTGTTTGTAAGTTCTGAAGAAGTGCAGTGGCTTTGGTAATTAGTGGGTTTTTTTATCTAATTTTCTACTTGAATGGGATTGTTTGGAGAAAGCTGGTGGGTGGTATGTTTGGACAGTTTAAGTGCTTCTGGAAAAAAAACATGGGAAAATAGGAGATGGGGGTCCACTCGTTCTAAAACACCAGCTCTCTGCTTACCAATCTTCGCAAAGTGCTATGGGTAGATCACATACCCGCTTGACGACTAAAGAATCTGAGCTCTTGGGAAGTCAAATAACGTCCCCAGCTTCATAAGCCAGGGAGGTTTGGAGTGAGGACGTCAGCCTGGTCATGTCTGTAGGAGAGCCTGGCATTCTTGCTGTGATTAGTTTTAAAGACTCTAGCGTGGGGGCATAGCTTTGCTTCATGGAGAACCGTGAAAGCATACGAGTTCCTGGAAGTTCTGACTTAGATCAGTCAAAACTCAGGGATTATACTTGATACTGGTCATCTCAAACACTAGACATGGGTTATAAGAGTGATCTGTCCTTAGCCTGTGGCCTAAGGGGTATAATTTTGGAGCGATGTTGATAGAAAAGTGTCTTGGAAGAAGAAGTTCTCCTAAACAGTAAGGTTAGGAAACTGTATGACCTGTTCCTTTTACTAATTGCAATGCTAAGCACCCATGTGCGTGTCGTAAATCCCGATGACTGAGTACAGTGTGCACATGTGCTCTGGAATGAGACTGCCTGACTGGGTCACCTGGCTGTGCCGCTTGCTTTTTAACATTAAGCCTGTTAAGTAATTTATCTGCACCTCAATCTAATAACAGTATGATAAAATGATACATGGTAATCATATAGTAATAGTGGGGTGTTCTCAGAAAAAACATGAGATTAAATTTATAGAGAGTGCTTAGGATACACTTGATAATCTAATACTTAGCAAATCTTGTGATGTTGAAGAGCACCCAAATGGTAAGAAGAGCTGCTTTCAATGGTCTAACATGACTTATTCGGCATATGTGATTGACTATGGAAACACATGTTCATGGTCCCTTCTATTCCTTAAGTGCAGTGCAGGGAATGCCGATACTTAAAACATCACAGATTAGCTGGGCGGTGGTGGCACACACTGTTCATCCTAGCACTTGGGAGGTAGAGGCAGGTGGATCTCTGTGTGTTCAAGGCCAGCCTGGTCTACAAGAGCTAGTTCCAGGACAGTCTCGAGTCTCGATAACTACAGTAAAACCCTGTCTTGAAACCCCCCCCCAAAAAAAGAACCCAAAGAACCCATCATAGATTAACTTGTCATTAGCATTAGCCTAGTTTAAAATGGTTACTCACAATTTTGTATCAATTATGTCAATCTATGAATGTCACTTGAAACATTTTATTTCTTGTCAACGGTATTTTCTTTTTCCCCTATACTTAACACAGTAAATTGGAACAGCAAAATATATACATTTTTTTAAGTTGAAAAGTACCAATATTATTCTAGAAATTGCCTGAAAAATAAACAAGAATTATCTCCTTCTCTGTATTGGCAGGGGGATTGCTAATTGCTTGAACAAGTAAACGATTTCCCTTTTATTCCAGATTCACTCTCTTACTGTATGCTGCTAACATGTTAGTGTTTCAGGCTAGGCTCCTTATATTGAAAATTTACCGATATTTGGTTTATAAAACATTAACCTCTTGGGAGGCATAAATGATTTCTCATTTTTCATCTCCTAGGAGAGTCACATGTGTACCTGTCACTAGGACAGACACGTATTTACTGGGGCCTCTCTGTGGCACCTACTCTGATCACGGGGAAGCAACAGAGCTTCAGTCAGTCACAGAGTTGAGATTTCTGATAGAACAGACAATGCCCTGATCTACTTCCCTCCTTAAAACCATCATGTTTGGGTGTTTAGCTCTCTTTCAGGGGTGAGAGAAATAGGAATGTAAAAATATGTGCACTGTGCTGTGTTTGCTCAGTCTGTGAAAGCGATCTAATAGTCACCTTGAGGTTGAGCTCTAACACAGTCAGAAACAGTCAGTTTTCAATCGTGGCCCTTGCTTTCTTTTCTTGCTAGAATTAAAAGCAAACGACTTAGGACATTATTTTGCTTAGCAGGTTAATGGCAGAAGAAATAGCAAGAATTCACCCCAATTCTTTTCTTAGGGTGGTAGCATGTAGAAATTAATTGAATAGGTAGGGTCTAAAGTACGATAGGAATGAGAACTGATACACAGAGCTACAAAATCTTCTAGAGGTGTTTGACTATGTCTTTTGTTAATTGCATGTCTGCTCCGAGGTCCTCGGTACAAGGACGGACGGTGAAGCACAGCTCTCCCTGATACTTGGCTGGAAGTAGGGGTTACAGCACATGAGCTGTACTTGTGAACACACGATGATCACCCCCACTTTCCACAAGCTTTGAAAATGGACTAAATCAAGGAGTAAATCATGGCATTCATCTCAGTTTGAGACGGTATGATCATTTCAAGACTTTGTTTTGTTTTTCAGTTGGTTTCATTAGTAGAAAAGCAAACGACACTTCTCCGTCTAAGACTCAGGGGTAGTAAAGCTGCTTTCATGCATTCTCATAGATACCACAGCACAGAATTGAAAGAGAAAATACAAAAATCATGGGCCATACCTGAGTAATTCCTGAGGTTCCCCACCCGGAAAGAGGTTCCTTGATTATGGCGAATTCAGCATGTCACTTTGGTTATATTCTAATCACCGTATCAAACTCCAAAGGTTCAGTGGCTTTAGGTTTGGTTTACAATTCCTGGAAGTTAAACTTTAACCCGCCCTGTCTCTTGCATCCATGCAGCCCTTTGACCAGGTAAGTGGGTCACTATGGCCTAAACAGAAGCTGCTAAACGCTTCCCCTCTTGTTTACAAAATGAAAATGTGTTTGGCATTACAGTCATTGGGGTCAATTCTCTTTTGAAGCTAGCTTTTAGAAATAAATTTAAATGTGGTATTCATTCCATTTTAGGAAACTAAGAAGTTCTTTATGTGGTCACCTTATTTATTTGCTGTGTCAAAGTGACATAGCAGGCAAGGTAATTTAGGAGACAGCTCCATTGTGTCGCACTTTTCCTACTACGGCTTTACATGGAATAGAGTGTAGAGTTTTAGGTCAAGTATGCAGATAAATGCTGGCTTGCAAACACAAAATACACAAAGCGTTTATATAAACAAGTAGCTGAATGTAGGCCAAATCAGGTTTGGAAAAACATTTCACATTGCAGCTCTCAAGGAAGAGCCAGGGCTGCTGTCCACTGCTGGAAATGTCAGCAAACCATTTTTCTTAAAGGACAGATAATTGGTATTTTTTTTTAAAAAATGTAAGCTCTATAGTTAATTTATCCAGCATGAGCACCAGTCTATATAAGAAATCCCAAAGGATTTTTTAAACAATCTATTTATAAGATAAAAACAACCAAACCTCCCTACTTTTGAGTGAATTTTGTCTAAGACTTGTAAAATTAAATTAAAGGATACTTTCCCTTGGCTTTGGGTCAAGTAAGAAAAGTCCGGCTTCCTGGGAACCAGCTTAGGACATTTTTTACCTGTCGGAAACCGCAGAACAATCAAGGGATGACAGCACTGAATCTTGCTTGTGCTTAGAGAGGAGAGGGACCTGAGGATCTACGCAGTGTTCCTTCTGCCTGCAGCGTTACTTATCCTACCGTGAAGCCTTGATTGCCTTGTATGTCTTTAGTCCTAGCTAAAGCGCCTCAGAGACTATTGATTTGTCCTGAAATTGTAGCGCGCACTGCTTCTCACATACAGACATTCACAGCTAGACGTCTCTACTTATTTCTTCTGCTGGCCCAGATCCTTCTCGGTTTGCCCAGGAGAAGCTCCACCTGGGCTGGGCCGGCTTCCCAATGAGGGAGGAATTCTCACTTTGAGTCTGCTCCCACAAGGAAGTGTTGATATCCTGAGACTGAAGGTCCTGGCAGCAGGGGGTTTCTGATTGTGTGGTAGATGCCAGGGCAGTGCTAAGTGGGGATTCAAAACTTTGAAAAAGGAAAGCAGGGCCCCTTAGATAGTTGGGGGAGATAGCAAAAACATAAGAAGAAGAAACAGGAGAGAGAAAGAAATAGAGACAGACAGACCTGGGATTATTTCTTAACAAACCCTTTCTTAGTTGAAAGTTTCCTGAGTTAAAAATGCACTTCCTATTATGGCTAACTCATGGGATGTCAAAGCTGAACAGTGCAGAGAGTCGGTTTCCTGCCTGACTGTCCACTGACTGGAAGCTGTAACCTGCTACCACTGCCCAGCGTCTCTGGAGAGTACCCTACGACACAGCACTAGGAAAAGATCCAAGTTTGAAATTCCAAGTATGATTTCTGAGGGAAGGCATGTCACTTTTACAGGAGCAGGGTTAGATGTATCCAAGTGGAGTCAGTGCGAGTAAAGGAGAACAGGTTTGAACTAACATCCCAGTCCAGGTTGCTATAACGGAATACAACACAGTGGGTGGCTTCAACAATTCTGGCTTTCTCAGGGTTTAGAGGCTGGAATTCCAAAATCAGGTGCCAGCAGGGTCTTGCACGACTTTATGTGACCATAGAAAGAGAAAGTTTTGTTTGTTTGGTTTGTTTTGGTTTGGTTTTTCAAGACAGGGTTTCTGGAAATTGTTTTGTAGAGTAGGCTGGCCTCAAACTCACAGGGATCCACCTGCTTCTTTCTCTTCAGTACTGGAATTAAAGGTGTGTGCCACCGTGCCTGGTTGATGAAGAGATTTTAAAAAGTATTTACATATTTTTTGTTCATTTATGCGTGTGTGGGGACCACGTGCGTGGCATGAAATGGTGTGAGTTGTGGAGTTCAGAAGAAGCTGATTCTCACTTCTTGCCATGTGAGTCATCGTGATCAAACATAAGTAATCAGCGACGTTGGCAGGTGCCTTTGCCAACTGACTGTTTTGTTGACTGGAGATATTTTCTAATAAGGGCATTTATACTATCCAAAGCCCTGCGCCCATGACCTATTCTAGTCTAGTTATTTTCAAAAGAATTTCAAATTTTCAAATGTCATCATGGTTAGGGTTTTAGCATGAATTTTAAGGAGAAGGCAAACATTCAGCTTATAAAGGTTTCACATCAAAAAATTTCAGCGTCTTCTTTGATAGGTCCTGACATTTCACAGGGCAGGATATGCTCCTGCCAAACTATAATTCACGTGCTACTCACGAGGGCTGGGCCAATAATAAGTTTGACAGCACCATCAGGCTAGGATTTTTCTTTTCCAAGCCATTTTATTGAAACAGTTGGGATTTATTGACCTGAAGTAGAGTGACAAACATCCACGCAGACCTTTGCGAGGGCTCCTCACCAAAGAAGCATCAGTAGTTACGGGACAAAGAGTCCACCAGATCGGAACGGGATCAACTCAAGACCTTGATTCTGTCAGCCTAGCAATGGAAGTCCACTGTCCACACAAAGGCAACACTTGCCTTTATTTCACAAAACAGCCCCAATTTAAATAGTGCCTGGAAAAATACTGATTTCCCACTAGTTTATCCTACAAACTATGGGAGATCTGTTTTTCCTTAGGAGCCTTCATGATACAGTAATTGTTTTATGTCAGAGATGATGGTCTGAGGAGATGGCTCCAACAGTGAGGTACGTGTTGTGCAATCATGACAACCTTGACCTGAGTTTGGATCCCCAGGACCTTTGTAGAAAACTGGGCACATGTCTCTAACTCTAGTACTTGGGAAGAGGAGATAGGTTGAGTCCCCGAGTTCACTGGCCAACTACTCTAGTCAATCACAGATAGAGACACAGAGTCAGAGATACAGAGAGAGGGGAGTCTATTAGTAGATCATGGAACTAATATTGCACCAAACATTCTAACAAATAGGGAGGGTAGGTAGTGCCTATGAGAACTCTCTTTTTCACTGTAAGTGGGTGATAGTTATTTAAAATGAGAAATGATGGGCTAGGGAGACTTGTTCAGACAGGAATGTGCCTGTCCTGCAAGGATATGTGTGTGGATCATGATTTCATTTTTTTTTCATTAACCGTTTTTTTTTTGTTGGTTTTTTTTGTTTTTTTTTTTTACTTTGCAAGCTATTGTACTGGATTTCATGGTTAGCAGACTAACCAGATTGAGGTTGCATACATAAAGGAGTACTTCAATAGTAAACTCATTACATCTATAATTAATGCTCTGAAGGAGAACCACAGTATGCTAAACAGAACATAAAATGTAAGAAATAAATGCAAGGTAGGGAATAATCCTCCTGTACACTGTGAATATATATTATTCTCTTTGGTTAATAAAGAGGTAGTTGACCAAAAGCCAGGCAGGAAGTCTAAGCAGGACAACCAAGCTAAGAATGCTGGGAGAAAGAAGGGCAGAGTGAGAGGGGAGATGCCAGCTAGTCACCACACAAAAGAAGGTGGAGCAAATGGGATAGCAAGATATGAGCCATGTAGCAAAGCATAAACAGAAATTTGGGTTAATTTAAATGTAAGAGTTAGCTAGTAAGAAGCCTGAGTTATTTACTCGTTGAGCATATATAAATAGTATCATGCCTCCGAGTGGTTATTTGGGCACTGGTGGGTGGGGTGGGAGAGAAACTCCAGACTACATTAGGTAGCTCAGGAAAACGCCAGCATCCAAGGTCTGAAAGTGTGAGGGAACTTTCTAGTTGGCAGAAACAGCACAGGTGAAGTCTGAGCTGGAGGTAGGTGAGCGCCTTCAAGTGACAAGTGGAGCCAATTGTGAGCAGCAAAGGGGAAAGGGGTCAGAGAAAGAAAGGAGTTGGTGCCAGAGCCAAAGTCAGCTCATTAGAGAGGACGTGTGACAGTGTAAACAATTTTCCATGTTACTCCGTTATAACGGATGTTCCCGAAGGATTGAAGGGAGGCTAGCCATCTATATGGTTCATATTGTGAGTACAAAGTAAAGAAAAAAATTATGGTAGAATTTAATATGTGGAACATTGCCACTCCATTGTTTAAATTTTAGTCAACTTGGCACAACCTATAGTCTGAGGGATTGTCTAGATCAGGCTGGCCCACAGTCATGCCTCTGTGTTATTGTTTTTATGGTTTTAATTGATGGGTAAGACCCACCCTGATAGCAGGTGGCAACATTCCCTGGCCTGAAGCTGTGGACTGTGTATATGTAGAGAAAGTTAGCATGAGTACGCATGCGTTCATTTCTCTCTGCTCTTGGTAGTGGGTGTGAGGCGCCCGGCTGTCTAACCTACCTGTTGTCTTGACTGCCCTGCTGTGATCCTGAATTTGTGAGCTAGAGAAACCTCTTCTCCCCTCTCCTGAGCTGCTTCTTGCCAGGTGGATTATTACAGCAACTGGAATCAAACTTGGACAACTCCCTTTCAGCGGTCTTAGAATTGTTCTATTCTCTCATTTATCTGGATACTTCACATTGTGGATTTCAGAGACAAAAACGGCCAAGACCATGCAGAGAGTGGGTGAGAGGTGGTAAGAGCTGAGGCAAGAGTGTTGGCATTGGAGATACACGAGGTTCGGCCAAATGCGGAGGTGTTAAGGCATAGGAAGGGGATGGGCACCCAGGGAGGGATCCTTGGGACCCTTGAGAAGAACTCCCAAATTGCTGGGTGGTGATGCTGTGTGCTGAGGTGGTATTTGAAGAGGGAAGGTCTCGCAGAGGTGGACTGAATCGAACAACTTCCGTATGGAGTAGTGGCTGTTCCCTGTCACTCATGCGGTAATTATTTGGCTCATGGTG